AGCGGTAGTAGAGGTGGTGGGGTCGGCATGCTCTTGTCACCGCTGAGCACCTTCCAGGTCCTCCCAAACCCCCCTCTCTATCCTTATGCTCCTTCGAGGCCCACTGCATCTGGCTCTTCTCTCCCATCCCTCTGAGGATTGCAGTAATCTATCGGCCTCCTGGACCCGTATCCCGCTTCCTCGACGACATTTCCGCCTGGCTACCCTTCTTCCTCTCCTCTGAGCTACCCACCATCATCCTTGGTGACTTCAATATCCCTATCAACATCAACAACCCGGCTACATCCCAACTCCTCCACTTAACCTCTTCTTTTGCACTCACACAGTGCACACAGTCCTCCACGCACACAGACGGGAACACCCTGAACCTTGTTTTCTCTCATCTCTGCACCCTCCACAACCTCACAAACACCCCCTTTCCCTCTCTCTGACCACAACCCCATTACGTTCCCCGTCTCCCCGTCCTCTAACACCTCCCCCCAAACGTCAAACCATCACCAGCCGTAACCTCCGCAACCTGAACCTGGCCCCTTTCCACTCTGCAGCTGACCATTTTGTACGACAGTATCCTTCCACTGTCATGCTCTGACCTGGCCACTACTGCGTATAACGACTCGCTGTCAGCTGCCTTAGGCTTCTTAGCACCCCTAACCACACGCAACATTAGACCCCAACCGCTTCAACCCTGGCAAAACGACCACACTAAAAATCTTAAATGATGCAGTCGCGCAGTGGAGCGATTATGACACAAAACCAGATCCCCTCGAGCGTTCTCCCTCTACAAATCCGCCTTCCTCACCTACACCTCCACCAAACAAGCCTACTTCGTAACCCTCGTCAACACCCTCTCCACCTGTCCTCGCCGGCTCTTCTCCACTTTCAACTCCCTACTCTCTCCCTCCCCCATCTCCACTCAGTACCTCACTCACCGCCCATGAGATTGCCAATCACTTCCAAAACAAGATCGACGCAATCCGTAAAGACATCGCCAATGCTCCATATACCTCCCCACCTAGCCTCCCTCCCACTATAACCCCATCAACTCTCCCCTCCTCTGACCTCGCAACCACCCTGCCCCTCACCACACCTAACATCCCGCACACTATAACCTCCCCAACACTCTGCTCCTTCAGCCTTGCTACCACTGAGGAGGTCACTAAGGTCTTCTCAGAAGCCCGCCTCACCACTTGCCCCCTTGACCCTGTCCCCACACAACTCCTCCGGTCACCCTCCTCCTCCATCCTACGCTCCCTCACCCACATCTTCAATCTCTCCCTCTCTACTGGCGCATTCCCCTCCCCCCTAAAGCACGCGCACATCACCCCCATACTCAAAAAACCCTCCCTGGACCCCACCGACCTGAACAACCTTAGACCCATCTCCCTGCTGCCATTTATATCCAAGCTCCTTGAGCTTTTAGTCTACAATCACCTAAGCTCCCACCTCACTGACAACAACCTCCTCGATCCACTACAGTCTGGCTTCCGTCCCCTACACTCCACCGAAACCGCCCTACTCAAAATCACTAATGATCTGCTAACCGCCAAAGCTAACGGCCACTACTCAGTCCTCCTACTTCTCGACCTTTCCGCGGCCTTCGACACAGTTGACCACCCCCTCCTCAATAAACTACACTCCCTTGGCATCAGAGACTCCGCTCTCTCCTGGCTCTCCTCCTATCTATCCCAACGCTCCTTCAGTGTTACCTATAACGCTACCACCTCCCCCTCTCTCCCCCTCTCTGTTGGGGTCCCCCAAGGCTCTGTCCTCGGGCCCCTTCTATTCATCATCTACACCTTCTCCCTCGGCAAACGAATACACTCCCACGGCTTCAACTATCACCTCTACGCTGATGACACACAAATTTATTTCTCCACCCCTCACCTCACCCCTTCAGTCTCCGCCCGTATCACCCACCTACTGAACGACATATCAGACTGGATGTTGCTCCATTTCCTCAAATTGAACCTTTCCAAAACCGAGCTCCTAATTTTCCCCCCAGCCCGCGCCCCCCCCATCCTCTCCATCACAACAACCAACAATGCCACCATCAGTTCCACCCCGCAAGCCAAAGTCCTAGGTGTCACTCCAGACTCAAACCTGTCCTTCCAGCCCCATGCCCAATAGCTTGCAAACTCATGCAGGCTCCACCTCCGTAACATCTCCAAAATACGTACGTTCCTAACCCCAGACACTACTAAACAACTCGTTCACTCCCTTATTATCTCACGTCTGGACTACTGCAACTCCCTTCTCACTGGCCTACCCCAACACAGGCTATCCTCGCTTCAGTCTATCCTGAACTCAGCGGCCAGACTCATCCACCTTACCAACCGCTCCGCTTCTGCCACCCCCTCTCTGTCATTCCCTCCACTGGCTTTCGATTGCCCAACGCATTAAATTCAAACTACTAACATTGACATACAAAGCCATTCATAACGCTGCCCCAAACTACCTCACCGACCTGATACCACCCAAACCTTACTCTTCGCTCCTCACAAGACCTCCTACTTTCTAGCTCCCTGGTCTCCTCCTCCCACGCCCGATTGCAGGACTTCTCCAGGACTTCCCCCATCCTCTGGAACTCACTACCCCAATCCATCAGACTGTCACCTACCCTCCTCACCTTCAGGCGCACCCTGAAAACCAATTTCTTCAGGGAAGCCTACCCCACCCTCACCTAATAGTCGATCTCCTCCACTCCTCCTACCACTCCATCCCCCACAGCCACTTCCTCCTGTACCACTATCCCCTCCCTCCTAGATTGTAAGCTCGAAAGAGCAGGGCCCTTGAACCCCTCGTGTATTCTGTTACTGTATTGTCTCATGTACTGTCCCCCACTATAATGTACAGCGCTGAGCAAACCTTTTGGTGCTATATAAATACTGTATAATAATAATATTTACTAATTAGGTGAATTCTGAAGGCAATTAGTTCCACTAGATTTTAGTTAGAAGTATCAGAGTAAAGGGGGCTGAATATAAATGCACGCCACACTTTTCAGATATTTATTTTAAAAATATGTTAAACCATTTATCATTTTCCTTCTACTTCACAATTATGTGCCAGGTTGTTGTTGGTCTATCTTATAAAATCCCATTAAAATACATTGACATTTTTGGTTGTAACATGACAAAATGTGGAAAATTTCAAGGAGTATGAATACTTTTTCAAGGCACTGTAGTCACATTTAACCCCCAGGTCACCCCCAGTTAACCCTTTCACTGCCTTGTCACCAGTGTCATTAGTGAAGAATAAAAGAAAGAGCTCACCAATCTTTTGCATTACCTCAGTAAACAGTAGATGAATCTATTAATAAAATATACTCACAAGAGTAGCAGTAAAATAGGCATATAATAACCATAGCCAACACAGGGTTACAGGTCATGTAAAAGTTCCATCCGAAGGGGAGATAAACTCTTGTTCAAGCTAATGCGTTTCGAAGGGTGATCCCTTCTTCATCAGAGCTGGATAAATGGATAGGAATCATCAATTCAGGTTCAGTTCACATAACTAGGAGGCTATGTGTTTAACCGGCAGAAATACTGACACTTAGTGGCTGAATGCCTCCTAGGGTGTTGCTCTCAGAATATATATGTCAGTGCGGCTTCAGGCATCATCCAGTTATTTTTTTTATTGTTTTTTTCAGGCTACAGTTGGCTTTTATGTAAAGGCAATCTTAACAGCTAGTTAGCCACTGGATTGCTTTTACAAGGAGCATTAGGGGACCCCCCCACCTTCTTGGGCTCTTCCATCCCACCAGGGAACCCGAGAATGCAGCCGGTGGTTCTGCTTGCTGACCATAGAGCTGATCAGAGACCAGAACAGCTCTGATCATTTCTGTGGTCTAAGAAACTGAAACCAATTTCATCACTTTCACCAGTAGTAAACTGCAATTTTTAAATTGTGGTAAAGGAGAGATCTGGGTCTAATAGACCAGCTTTCTCAATAATGAATACCTGTCACTGCCTAATGCTATCACAGGGGAAATTTACTTTCCCTGTGATTACAGTAAAGGTGATTAAAAACAATAAAGGGACAGTGAAAAATATAATGCCCTGTTCCCCTGTGCTCGCACGCAAAGGCGAATGCATTGCCTTGGTCGTAACCGCGATCGCACCATGCATGTAAGTTATCACCACGAATGTCAGACTATGGGCAGTAATTCTAGCACTAGACTTCCTGTGTAAATCTAAAGCGATAACTTGTAAAGGCTTTTAAAGTGTTACCTATGTATAATAAAAATTGATATGCACAATGTTAAAGTGTGGTATGTTTGGTATCTGTTTACTTGGCGTAACATCATCTTTTATATTTTACCAAACCATTGGGTTTTTGAATATGTTTTCGTGCATTAAAATTAAAAAAATGTGTATTTTTTCAAAAAATAATTTGCATTTTAAAAAACTGTTGCGCAAAAACCATGTGAAATAAAGCATTGCAAAACCCACCATTTTATTCTTTAGGGCCTCTGCTTTAAAAAAAATATGTTTGGGAGTTCTAAGTGATTTTCTAGCAAAAAAATAAAACATTTTACATGTAATCAAAAAGTGTCAGAACAGGCTTGGTATTCAAGTGGTTAGAAGAGTGGGTGATATGTGGCAGAAGATTCTAATGTTGGGAATAAAATGCCAGGATAGTTCAAACACCCCCCAAATTACCCCTTTTTGGAAATAGACACCCAAAGGTATTTGCTGACAGGCTTGTTGAGTGCATGGAAAATTATTTTTTGACACATGTTTTTAGAAAATTACAAATTTAAAATATTTATTTTATTTACACAAAGTTGGCACTTTAACCTCCTCCCACCCGCCATATAGTAATATGACGGATGCAAGGTGGTTCTCTCGTTCTGGGAGGATGTGACGTCCTCCCATTCTAACCGCGCATGCGCGGTTCCCGCAGCGCGGCGATCGGAGGTGTGCTGTGTCTCTCGGACACAGCGGATCACCAATCCACAGAAAGAGCCGAAGATATCGGCTTGGTCATGTGATCAGCTGTGTACAATCACAGCTGGTCACATGTAAACAGGGAAATGCCGGTTATCGGCATTTCTCTCCTCACAAGCTGTCACGCTGACAGCTCGTGAGGAGAGGAGAGAGAGCCGGTAATCGGCATTCCTCGGAGGGGACATCTACACTGATCATCAGGGCACTGATGATCAGAGTGCTCTGATGATCTGTGTAGCCCCAGCAGCGCCACCTGTCAGTGTCCATCAGTGCCAGCTCTCAGTGCTCATCCATGCCACCTGCCAGTGCCACATCAATGCCACATATCAGTGCCCAGCTGAGCTGTCTTTCAGTGTCACCCATCGGTGCCAGTCAGTGCTGCCAATCAGTGCCGCCTATCAGTGCCATCTATCAGTGTGCATCAGTGCCGCCTATCAGTGCCACCTTACAGTGCCAGTCAGTGCCACCTATCAGTGCCATATATGAGTGCTGCCTTTCAGTGCCCATCAGTGATGCCTGTCAATGCCCATCAGTGCCACCTACCAGTGCCTTCTCATCAGTGCAACCTATCAGTGTCCATCAGTGCAGCCTATCAGTGCCCACACTGCAGCCTCATTAGCGCACTTCAGTGGTTTTTGGTTTAAGAAAAAATAAAAAACCCAGAGGTGATTAAATACCACCAAAATAAAGCTCTATCTGTCACAAAAAAATTATAAACATTTCAAATGGGTACAGTGTTGCATGACCGCGCAATTGTCATTCAAAGTGCAACAGCGCTGAAAGCTGGAAATTGGCCTGGCCAGGAACGGGGTATAAGTGCCCTGTAGGCTAGTGGTTAATGAGATATTTCCCACACACACTATAGGTAGATGTGAAATTATACCCCAAAACACATTCTGCTACATCTCTCAAGTATGGGATACCACACGTGTGAGACTGTGTTTGTGAGCCTAGCCGACTATGGAGGCTGAAAACTGACCACCTTCAGGCTTTCAAAGGGTATAATTTCCTCATTTCACTTCCTCACTACCTATCACAGTTTCAGAGGCCCTGGAAAGCCAGGATAGGGCAAACACCCCCAAATGACCCCTTTTTTGGAAAGTAGACACCCAAAGGAATTTGAAAAGAGGCATGACGAGTATTTTGCAGATCTCCTTTTTTGAAAAATGTTTTTGGAAAATGATGAAATAGAACAAAAATGGACTTCTCTTACGTTCCTTGACGGACACAGCTGCTCTTTATTCTTGACCATAGAATTATATTGCCACCTGCAGGAGTAGGACACTAGGTGGAAAAAAGAACTCAGCATCGCCTATGGGCAGCCCTAGCTAGCATATACCCCCTCTCTGCTATAGGCAATCCAGTTTTTTGCCTAGTGTTCAGTAGTAAGGAATTAGTTCCCTGCTGGAACCTCTGGTTCCATAGTATTTTCTTTTTTTTTCTCTTTCCTGGGATTTTTTTCTTTGGAGATCTTCAATCAACAGTGGGGCTGAGCTCCCTCACCAAAGCGCCATGGATTCGCCTGTCTGTTTCGGGTGTCCACCTTGCTACCTGGGTCCCCGGGTAGACGTGTGGACCCATGGCTGTTCCTTGGAGGGCAGCTGGTGGGTTTTTTTTTTTTTTTTAAAGAATATTTATTGGGTTTTTGTGACATACATTGTAGGGAACAAACAGGCGACATAAAAGGGATATCATGTCAATATAGAGATGTAGAAAATCTCTAATCACATTCTACAAGAAAACATTGTATAGGAACATTGAAGTGCTCTTGGATTAGAGAACCCTTAACACGGAGCAGATGTAGACCAGTATCTGATGGGTGCTGTGACATAATGGTGAGAGAAAAATTATCTGAAAGCTAGAAACAAAGAATGATAGAGTGAGGGCGACAAAATATATGGTGTGGAATTTGTTTCTGGGTATGCAGAGTGCAAAGAGATGTCAGCCGATGTCCACCAAAGATACAATAAATGGAAATAAAAGATGGAGACAAAAGGAGAGAAGTTATGTACTAGAGATGAATAAACAGAGGGAATAGAGAGGGGTAAAGTTGGAAAAGAAGGTATGAGAGAAGAAGAGAGAGGAAAATGAGAAGGCTAGGGCGCATGTATTAGAGTAAGGAGAATGGTGAGAAGGGGGGGGGGGGGGTAAGCAGTTACTACCCGGAGGACCATGTAGCCTGAAGGGACACGAGAGTAGTTAACCTGGATCTGAGTTTGAGTATATGTGATAGGATAGGTGGGGGTCAGAAAGGAGGGTGTCCTGCAGATACCATAAATAAAGCTCCAGTTGCTTGCTGTAATCATGTGGAGAATTCTGACAACAGATGTATATATCATACCGAGAGTTCAAACCCTTTCATAGGGAAGGAGAGAGGAGAACCAGAAATGGAGAGGAAGGCAAAGACTAGTGAAAAATGTTGGGCGTAAAAGAGGTAGCGTAACCTATAAACAACATATGCATACTGTAGTTAAAGTAACATTGCATCATTTGAGAAGCTTAGTAGAATGACCCAAGACTCTGGAATCCTGGAGGAAAAATTGTAGCTCCTGTACGGAGAGTGTTCCAGTGATATAGCTTCCACTTTTGGAAGTAGTGATCAGATCTATGGTTGGAGGGTGGGGAAACTAGGTTGAGCCTGTCCAGGCGGATAAGAAAGTTAAGGTCTTGCTTGAGGTCCGTTAAAGTTGGAGGATAGTTGGAGACCCATTTCTTCAATATGGCCCTTCTTGCTACCAAGAGACAGGTGGATATCCATGGTTTGTTGTTTCTCAGAGTTGATAGCTGAGAGGGAGCAAGTCCTGTACCTGATTGTTCCATGTTGCCGAAAAGGAGAAGCAGTGGATCTCTGGTCAGGTGGAATGTGGTGACAAAAGATATAAAGCTGATCACTTGCTTCCAGAAGACAGATATGGACGGGCAGAGCCAAAATCTGTGATGTAATGAAGGTTTGAGACAACCGCAAAGTTGGCATGTGAACACCGCAGGATTGGCTTTTGAATAGAAACGAGGCATATAGGCACGATGCAGGATCTTTAATTGTTGTTCGCGCCAAAACGCGTTTGAATTAAAGGCACAGGTGGTGTTGAAACCTGATAATTGTTCTACTGTAAAAGCATTATCAAAGTCCTTGACCCAAGAGATCACTGATGCGGAGGTTTCCAGGGGTTTCGTGTAATGAAGATTTAACGGTCCATAAATGTTTGATATTTTATATTTTCGGTTTGTACCAGTACATCTATTATTGTCATGCGGAATCTAGTAGACTTGAGTGGAGCAACAGAGTTGACATAATTCCTCACTTGTAGAATATAAAGGAAATGATGGGAGGGTAAGTTAAAGATTTGCTGAATGTTATGAAGAGGCTTCGGGGAGCCAGTAGAGGTATCAAACAGGTGCTGAACAAGAGTGAGGTCATGTGTAACCCAGGTTTCATAAGCTGCGTACAGTTGCAGAGGAGGAAAAGAGGGATTATGATGAACAGGAAGAAATCGAGAGAGCCGTGGAGAAACCCCTAACTTACGTCTGACTTCCCTCCATCTGATGAGAGTGTCACGAATGAGTGAGTTATGTTTTAGATGGGATGGGAGAGAGTTTACATTTGAATGTAGAAGGGCCGTGAGACTAAATGGATGGACCATGGCGGACTCGAGATAATAGTTGGAGTATCTGGAGGTTTGGGTAAGCCAGTCCAGGCATATATGTAGCAGGCAAGAAAGATTGTAAATTCATATGTTAGGAAGACTGGATCCCCCCCTCACTCCATGGAAGAAACGTTTTATGTAATGCTATGCGTGGGCGTCTACCGATCCATAGAAATTTGGATATTGCCTAGTGTAATCTCGTTGTATCACTATGCCTCAGGAGGAGAGGTATAGTTTGAAGTGGATATAAAAGTTTCGGGAAGCTCACCATCTTGAAATGTGACCTGCCCAAAAGTGACCGTGGTAGGTCCTTCCACATCTCCAATTCTCCTATAATTTTATTAATCGTTGGTGTATAGTTGAGCGCATATAGAGATGAGGCAAGTTTTCCTATCTTAATGCCTGAGTATGTGACAGGACTAGTAGCAAGTTTGAATAGCAAGTTTTGTGACCACACGGGAGGGCGGGCGTGATACAGCGGAAGAACCTCACTGTTAGAAAAATTTATGCAGAGTCCTGAGTAGAGGCGGAAGTCGGAAAATGTGTCTCAAATATATGGCAGATCTAAGGATGGATTAGGGGTAAAAATTAATATGTCATCTGCGAATAAGGAGATTTTCAGTTCTTGTTGACCAGTTGAGATTCCATGAAAGTCAGAGTGAAACAATAAAAAGCATGCTAAAGGTTCCAGGGCTAGATTAAAGAGTAAAGAGGATAAGGGACATCCCTTTCTGTTGCCCTTGTGGACTCGTATGGGATTGGATATATGGCCTGCCGCTATAACTTGAGCTATTGGTGCCAACTATATAGCTTGGATCAAGTGCATAAATGGGCCCGCAAATCCGAATTTCCGTAGGGTTAAGAATAGCCAGGTGAAATTGACATTTTCAAAGGCCTTTTCGGCATCTAAAGAGATGATCGCTGTGTCGTGGAGCGAGTCATGTTTAGCCTGATTCAAGACTGTTAAGACTTTGCGTATATTTGAGGCAGCTGAGCGACCCTGTACGAAACCTGCTTGTAAAGGGTGAATAAGGGGAGGTAAAATAGCGGTAATCGATTTTTGCGATAATTTTAGACGTTTTGCATCTAGGTTTAAAAGGGATGTTGGACCATCCAAGATCCATGGGGGCTTTATCTTTTTTTGCTATCAGTTTGATATAGGCCTGGAACCCAGAGGGGAGATAGTCTCCTCCCTCCTGAATTGTTTGGAATACTGTCTGTAGAGTGGGGGAAAGGGTTTTGGCCAAGAGTTTGTAATTCTGCCATATAGCCATCAGTCCCAGGGGCTTTGCCATTCGTGAGAGATTGAATAGCCAGGAGAATGTCCGACTGAGATATCGGGGCATTCAAGGATTGAAGTGCGATAGGATCTATTTGCGGGAATGAAATGTGTTCCAGGAAGGAGTTGGCACGAGTGACATCTATAGGATCCGAGTCGTACAGATTCGAGAATAAATTTTCCAATATGGAAATGATTTCCTTTGGCGAGTTTTTTAAAGTGCCCTGGGAGTCCTTTAGAGATGCAAAGTGGGTAGGAATAAAAGGTTTTTTGCATAAACGTGCTAGCAATTTACCTGGCTTGTTACCAAATTTATGATAATGTTAATCAAGATGGGATTGATATAAAGATTCTTGGGCTGCTGCCCAGATATCAAATTGGTGTTTAGCATCCGCCCATGCCTTCCTATGTTCGTGTGAGTTAAGATCCGCCAGATCTTTCTGGGTCTATCTAAGACTGTTGATCGCCTCTGTATTTATGGAGGAGATTTTTCTTATAAGTGGAAGTATAAGCGATAATTCTGCCACG